TTTCCACCACCTGGAAATGAGCAGATCTCACAGGTATAGACTGCAGTAGCTCTAGCCTTTTGTAACAGTTTCTGTGCTATATAGAGTATTAACAAGATTATGCTGAAAAGGTAAATGTGAACCAAAAGCATCTATTTTCACAGACGCTCATTGCATTCTACAAATGGTAGACAATATATAATCTTTTTCCCTATCTAAAAAAGTCGCATGACTGAAAGGCAGATGGTCTTACGCATCTGTGAATGCTAAAGATTGCAAACACCTCTGAAATGACTCCTTAATGTTCTGCTTGGATTTCCAATGGACGCCATTAAGTTCTCACTTGTGAGAAAGGACATAGTGGCAGGGCTGGCATTTGGTCTTGGAACTGTTGCCTGTCAGTGACATAGAACTCATAGTCTATGAAACTGATACTAGCTGTCATCTTGGTTTAATACTGTTCGATTTGTGAACTGGTTGCATCTTCAGCCATTTTACACACACACACATAAAAAAGAAAAAAGCAGTTCATTTGCCTCTTGCAACATCATCTGAAAAGCCCAAAACTAATCATCTTACCGTCCATCAGACTTGGGTTAAGTGAAAGTTTAGGCCATAGAAAGCTGATGCTTATGCAGCAGGCTGGTTAATTGAGCTAAGCCCTAACTCTGCCATACCGCAGCCTTTGGGCTGCCTTTGCAGCCTCCCAGCTAATCCTTGGAAGCTGCCCTGTTTTCTGTGAAAACCACAGTTGTGGAGGGAAGGCTGCTGGGTGGTTTGAATTCTCTTTGGCAGCGTGTGCAAGAATTTGTGTCTTTTTTTTTTCAGGAGCTATTAAGTTTAATGAGCGCTTGACTTTGGAGGAGAGCTGCCGGCTTATTGAAGCTTTGTCATCTTGCCAGCTGCCCTTCCAGTGTGCTCATGGAAGACCTTCCATGATGCCTCTTGCAGACATAGACCATCTACAACAGGACATGCAGGTACTGTGTGGGACACAGATATACCTCTGACAATCCACACTCTGGATTATCAGACGCATGTCATGTGTGTGTGTTAGAACTAGCATGAACGCGTTTGAAACCATCACCACTGGCTGTATCTTACTTGAATTTTTACGTAGCTGTTACCAGTAAAAGAAAACTGTAGAACATTAAACCTGTCCTGCAAATGCTTTAGCAAGGGCCTTACCATATTTCGTTGAATGGTCACATTGACTTGAATGGGGTCCACGAGTCCTTTAAGTTAAGCATATATTTAAAGTGTTTGCAGTTTTTAAGTGTAAAACTTGGAAAACATGTAAATTCTGATAGTCTGCTAGTGGCAAAGATGCTAATTAAACAAATGCCTACTTCCCCAAAGTTTAAGATGCTATAAAATGGGGAAAAAAGGAAAAAAAAAAGCAACATTTAAATAATAATAATAATAAAACAACATTATTCCTTCCCTTTTGCTATTACTGTACTATATTAAGTTATGAAATCGAATTCTGTTGGAAGTCAGGTGTGACTTTGAATTAGATATTGCAAAAACTTGACAATGACTGCATTAGGGTAAAGAATACAGAAGCATTGAAGTTCATTTACTTAGTTATGATTTAGTTGTTCTTAATTTTTCTCCCTCCAGCCTAGACCTAATTTGGCTAGACTGCGGAAGATGGCAAGAGCATGGCACCTCTTTGGAAAAAAAAGACCCTAATCAAAAAAAGTTAAGATTGTAAGCTGCAACCACTAGAAGTGTTGGTGTGATGCAAGTTCCCCTGTTGTCAGACAACAATACCCTGTGTGGAGCCAAGTTCTGAGCCAGTGAAGTAACTGAAGTTCAGCTCTGAGTACTGACCTAGGATGCAGAGACCAGCCAGGAGAACATGGCAGGAGGAGCCCACCCTTGTAGCCTGGAGAAGCATCTTCAACATTAAGGAATTACATTGTAAGCCTGCACCCTGACTGTCGGAGGCAAGAAGTTGCAGCCACACGCAGTTGCTGAAGTGCTTTTTCTCTGCAAGCACAGCATGATTCTCCGTAATAGAGGGGAGGCTTTTAATTAATGTATTTTATAGTGCTTTGAAAATGAGGAGGTATTTATTAATAAAATTAACACTGAACTCTTTCCTTGGGCTCATGGCAGTGGTTGGAATGAGGTGCAACCAGCTTCGTGGTATATATAGGTGAGCTTAGGATCAAAAACCATACTTTTTATTTAACTAGGCAATGAATGTCACACCCAGCTGTTTTCTCCAGCTCCCTGCAGTTTGCATTCTTGAGTGAGAGATTTCTAAATCCTGGCAGAGCCCCACATTCTCAGGGTACAGAACTTACCCCCACAGAAATAACTAAATAACCCCTGGCATTTTTTATAATAGGCAGATTTTTTTTTACAAGTTCCAGTTCTATTTTGTGTCTCAGTCTAAGGTAGAGGAGTAGAGTTTATTTTAGAACAGTAAAGATGACATCTTTGTTTAATCACAGACATCCAACTTAAAACCAATTCAGATAGATATTGACATCTGCTGAATCAAAAGCAAAACAAGGAGTGGAAACTACTCTCATTTGATGCCTTAACTGTCCTGTAGTGTATCGCCATACATTGATGAAAGAGACAAAGGAAAAGTGACCTGACTGACCTGCAAGAGCCTGAGATTTCTAAGATATTCCTCCATGTTGCCCCTCACAAAAATCAGGAACTTTCTGAATGAGACAAGATGCCCACCCAAGAATAATCGCAGTCACTCAAGTAGTACAGGAGAGGAAAGGCCCTCAGACTACTATAAGTGAAGCGAGAGCTGGAGCTCTGCCTTCTGACAGGGAGGTGCACAAGCCAGCTGACAGGACTTCTGAAAGTCTGCCTTTCATCAAGAATGAAATTTCCATTCCGGCATTGTACAAAAAGCTGGTCTATATTTCAGTAACTCACCAAAAATCGTCAGAAAATTCTACCACAAAAATCCATTTTGAAGACAATTGCCAATGGCTTTTTATCCCATTCATATGTGAAAACACACCTTTAAAGCCTCCCACTGCACCATAGGTGCAGGCAACTCACTACACAGGTAAAACTCCTGCTAGTTAAAGAAACAAGTTAACTGTATATGGAAAACATGTTTAACAGTAAGATCACTGTAAACAGCTTTTATTGCAGCACACTTTGAAGTAACAGCTTTGCTGCCCCAGAGTTACATGCATGCCTGGCTGTTTGAAAATCCAGGTGGGTTAGCAGCTACACATGGCTTGTAACACAGCACAGAGATCAACACCTGTACAGGAGCTCTGCCTTCTGTTGCTTTTGGGTAGGAAAGACATTGTGCTGAGCAAATTCTCCACTGATTCGCCACAGCAACCTGTCCTTGCAATGTTCACTTTAATTAGCTGTTGTATCTTTCTGAAGAGAAAGATAGGAAAAGTCTGGAGAATTATGTGCTTCTGTGACATTAGAGTTCATAGTCATCTGGGTGGTAGAGCTCACTCATGAGGCGGTAGATGTAGGAAGGTGCATTACCCCCAATGTTAGAAATGAAGAGAGTAATGAGCTCTGGAGGGACGTAGTCAAACACTGGACAGTGAACGTTGATCTTTGCCAGGATCTCCCCTGTAAAGTGAATAGCAGCAATATTAGACACAGCAACTCAAAGAGAGTAAATTTAGCCTTGTGCATGTCTTCTCGAGCCCCTGAAGAAACCAGCTATGCATATGCCACCCTAAAGTCAGTACTGGGACAGCCTGAATCCTTTACTGGAACATCCAACTTCCTCACTGATGTCACTGAATTACAGGTATACAGACATCTTGGACAGGTGGCAGCACTCTCTTTTGGTAGTTTTTACTGACATTACCTCTGTTCCCCTCTGGAGCAGATTTACTAATTGCCAGAAAACCTGCCACTGTGTAACTAAAATGCATGAATCCAGATACTGCCAAAGTTAGTACTTTGACAAAAGCTCAGAAGGTGAAAACCAAAATCCTGTGCCAAACCTGATGCCTTCATTTCAAAACTCTCTGTCACATAGAAACGAGGCTTTGAAAGAGACCACTATCTGAAAATGGGCTTTCTATAGATGGTGCTTGTGTGGGAAGCCCATTGCAGAGATACTGGGTTTCAACAAGCTTATCACATAATGAAGTTTCAAGAAGTTAACATGAGTTGTAGGAAGGAAAGGAAGCTGCCCTCGGTGTTGGGCATCTGCTCTGTCCCACAGGAAACTGCCACCTGCCTGGAATCATTATCACAATCCTATAATAAAACTGACTATTCCAGAGCAGAAGCAAAGGTGCAAGATAGCGTTCAAAGGAAATCCTTTTTCTGTACTGTCTGTAATAGAAAGTTACATATAAAATAGGATGGTTCCCAGCACTTTTTTCTGCTTAAGACAATAGGAAGGGATTTTCTGTCTTGGGTTACGGGACAGTTGTGTTTAAATTTCATATCAGCTATTACAAAAACAACTTTAAAATTACAACCTGAACCAGCTTGACCAGCCTGTATAAAGAAAAAACAGTACCTTCTGTGAATGGCAGCACTTCCTGTGGTGACACAAACTTGTGGAATGAATCTTCTTCGTTAGGGAACTGAATGAGAAAGAGTACAGGAAGGTCAGGAAAAGAGAGACTGCCTCATTATCTTAGTCAAAACAGATCCTGGGTGCTGGAAAGAACTAAAGCAGAGGAAGAAGACTTGCCAGGTGACACTACATCTGTTTAATAGTGCTTGTGCCTAGAACCTCTGTAACATCTACAGGTGAAGGGTTTTTCCTCAGAGCTTTTTGAGCCTTCTATGACCTGGCTGCCCTTCGGCAAAAAAGCCCAGGGAACTGGAGCGGAGAAATTAATTCCTCTTAATTCCTCAGTCTGCAACTTCCTCTGACAATACTGAAAAAGTCCTGAGTGTAAGAAACAGTTTAGAGCATCTCCATCTACCTCCTCTGTCAGAGCAGAGGGTCTTTCAACACTAAAGATATAAACTGAAATCCAATGTGGTTGAAAAAAAATAAGTATGGTGATGTCAGTTTCTGGTCGGCAGTGGTCTGCACCCTTATGCCCAATGCACTGCTTACTCAGCACATCTGGCAGAAGAGGATGCTTTCAAAGAGATCCTGAAGTGTGCTAGATTTGGGTGAGGGTCTCCTTTCTGAAGTAACAGTGCTAGGTGCAGGAGATGGCTTATTTACCAACCTCACCTTGAGACAGGTGGTGGTCTCCACCCTAAGCTTCCACAAGCAGATCAGCCCCCATCTCTATGCAGAGCAGGTGCAGTCCTGAGGAGCTGCTGTACTCACCTGCGGTGAAAGCTTGAACATGGGGGCACACACGATGAGCGGAGTAGAGTGGTGTTTAGCTGCCAGTGCCAGAGTGTGAGTCCCACTCACAGCAATCAGGGCACCGTTGGCCAGGATTGTCTTTGTACCAATGATGACCTTAAAAGGCAAATCAACATTAGAGAGCATGTTCCACAGAAAACTGGGGAAGGGACGCTTCCTGGCTCAGACCCTGCCGGATGAACTGGAGGAGTTTGTCAAAACAGCCAGCCAGCAAAAGGCTGGAGTTATAGGGCAGCTGGATGCCTGATCTGTTTCATCTGGCACTGGCTCTGCACCGAAACGTTCCTCTCTAACAAGAGCACAACTCCAGCATGGTGAGGCCAGCACAGAGAACTTCAGAGGACAAATGTATGTTCTACTGCAGGGAACACTGAGCAGAAACTGGGCTGTGTTCCCTGTTGTTCTACAAGCCTGCGAAGTAAGCTTTGTGCAAGTAACTTGACTGCTGGCTGCAACAACTCCCTTGCTGTAAAATGGAAATAATGTAAAGCAGCTTAAAACACATAGATAAGAAGTGGTGTGGCTGGATTTTAGTAAGTTGGTTTTTTGTTTGTTTGGGGTTTTTTTCCAGTTTGGGGTGCCAAGTCTTCACCTCTACAAAAGTATGGAACAGGTCCGTCTGAAAAGACGCACCTTGGTGATTCCCTTCACCACCACTCATCTTGTGTTCCACACAAGGGGAGCTTCTTCTCTTTGGAAATG